CCCCCCCCCCCCGACCTGCGCGCGGGGTCAGGGTCGGGGACGCGGCCGAGCGACGGCTGCTCCGGGGTCCGGCCCGGGGCGCGGCCGGGGGCTTACCTGCGGCGCCCAGCGGGACGGCGGCCGGGGCGGGGGCCGGGGCCGGGGCGCTGGGCGCGGGGCGCGGGGTCCGGGCGGCGCAGGCTGCGCGCCGCGCTGCGCACATGCGCGCTCCCGCCCCTCCCACCTTTGACAGTTTTACTGTGGGGGGGAGGGGGCGAACTCTCGCGGTATTCCTGCAGCCGCTCCGCGACGGGGAGGAACGGGTTGGGGGGAGGGGGCCCATCGGCCGGGCCGGCCCCCTGGCCCCGCTCCCGACTCCGTCGGTCAGGGCTCCGGTGCAAAGTGGCCAGTTATGTCGCCCGTGGGGCAAGAGGCGTTTTTCAGGCAATGGGGTAAACTGAGGCACTATAGGGGCCCTGGGAACTGCTCGAAGCCCAGGGTACGCGGATCCAAGCGACCAGATGCCTCTAGGTGCTGGCTCTGGGAGGGTGCAGCCATGGAGACCACCGTCCCCTGGGAGTCGAACTCCTGGCCCGTGGGAGTCTTGCGCCTGCAGAGCAGGATCTGGGTGTCTTCCAAAGAGCCCCGTGGCCACACTCAGAGGATTGCCTGGCTCCTAGCAGTGCTGGGGCAGTTTGAGGCCATGGGCCCTATTGGGGCTACTAACCGTTGGACCAGCCTCCGTCTGCTTCGGGTGGAGGTGATTCTAGGCCAGTCGTGCTTTGCTACACGGTACCCCAGAACCCGGGCCTGTGAGGGCACCCCAGTATCAGGTCTGGGGGAAATGGGGCACCAACCCTACCAGGACTTGGGAATAAATGAAGTAGGGGAAGAGGTACTAGTTGGGAAACAGTTGCAAGGTGCACCCTTCCCCACCCCCTACTCCTCTCCCGACTTCACACTTCTGTGTACCCTGGAACAGGTTGGGTGCATTGCTTGGGGGCAGGGCACAAAAGGTCAGATTGGGGTCTGCCTGTTCTCACAGGGATTCTTGGGACCTGCTTCTCTAATGGCTGGCACAAAGTGCTCACAGAGAGAGGGGTGGGGGCCCTCTGTGCAGGGTTCAGTGGGTTAGAACTTCCCTTGGAAATCAGAGCCAGAGAAAGGCCCACGTGACCCCAGGAGGAAGAGGGAGGGTCCTGTCCTTCCCTTATTGACGGAGCCCACACTGGGGGCAGGACATGCAGGATTTGGGGAGGGGTCAGTGCATGAGATGCAGACAAGTTTGTCATATTTCCCCATGTAAGTCTGCATGTTCACGTGTGTAATACATCAATGCCTATTGGTAGGTGTGTGTCTATGTGTCTGAGTGACCATATGTGCTGGGCTGTGTCCTGTGTGGACGACTGATCTCAGCGTCTGTCTCTGTGTCCTGTACTAGTGGAAAAGGGTACCTGTCTGTATGACTAGACGCAAGGTGTGTGTGGGTGGAGGGACACCTGTATCTTAGATGTGTGTCCGGGCTACAGCATGCCTGGATGTCAGGACATTGTGTGCTGTGCCCCCTGTGTTTCTGTATGTTAGGGGGTCATTGTGTGTCAGGGGGTACTGTGGGTCTGGATACTAGCATCCTTGTGTCTCTGTGTGTCCAGACTCCGGTGGTCAGTTTATGCCTCTGTATTACCGTGTGTCTGGTGGCCGTGTGAGTACCTGTGTCGGGGGTGTCGTGACCTGTGTGTTTCTCATGTTAGAGCATTACCCTGTGTGGGGCGCTTAACGGGGGCCCTCCAAGATTGCCACGTCAAATCCCTGGAACCCATGAATGGGACCTCATTTGGGAAAAAAAGGTCTTTGTAGATTTGCTTAAGGGAAGGGTTTGGAGATAAGAAGATCGTCCTGGATTGTCCAGGTGGTCCTTAAATCCGGTGACAAGTTTCCTTGTAGGAGGAAGATTTGACACAGACAGAAGGTGATGTGAGCACTGAGGCTGGGACAGAGTGACATGCCACGAGCCCAGGGTCCCTGGGGCAGCCACAGAAGCTGGGAGAGGTGAGGAAGGGTTCTACGCGGGGCTCCAGGAGGCAGTGTGACCCTGCTGGGTTTCAGACTGGTGGCCTGCATTACTGGAACAAAATCCGTTTCTCTTGTGTTAAGCTTCCCAGTTGTGCTCATTTGTCACGGCAGCCCCAGGAAAGTAATGCACCTCTGTCCCTGCGTCTGGGTGCAGTCCACAGGGCTGAGCCCAGGATTCCAGCCCTCTGCCTCTTTCCCCACCTGGCCCTGGGGTAAACAGGAGCCCTGTCCAGATGCGACGCCACTGCCCCCTAGTGGCCCCGTGGAGGCACCTGAACTGGGCACCGGCACCCTCTCCTCCCACAGCCAGGGACCCCTCCACCCAGGGCTCTTCCCACTCTCAAACACCCAGTTGGCTGGAGCCGAACACACACTTGGGGCACTTGAGAACCAGCTTTATTTCTGGTCTTTTTGTCAGAATATAAAAAAGCGCAAAACAAAGAAGACAAGACAAGAGCATGGGGGCATGGGGGCATGGGGGCATGGGGGCAAGACAAAAATGGGAGAAGGTGGGGGCAGTGATAGGAAGGACCCTCCGGAAAAGACAACGCCGTGATGGCACAAGGTGGGCTGGGACAATCAGGGTGGCCAGACAGGACATGGGGGCTTCCTGTATCGGCCTACAGGATGGGGAGCACCAGGCCAGTTGTCCAAATTCCACTGGGGACCTGCAGCAACCAACCTCCCACCTGCAGGCCAGCTCAGGGCACAGAGAAGAGGCTGGAGGCTCAGCCTCATCTGTCCCTGAGATTTTCAGAGTTCCCTAGGGGGATGGGAAGGGTTAGGGACAAGAGGGCCAGGGCTACCAGGACCACCCTCACCGTCCCTCTGCTGGGCAGCACCAGTCCCAGCCTTGGGCCCCTTGACCTGCCGAGTGGCTGCTCAGGGGCTGGCTGGGTCCCTGGTGGGTGGGTGTGGGGGAAGTAGCCCTCAGGACAGTGTCTTCTATGAATTCGGATTTTCCTGGGAAAGGAGCAGTGAGAACACACATGCCCCCAACTGTGCCTCAGGGCAGCCCCCCAACAAATGTTGGGGGAGCAGGAGCTGGACTCCCAAACCCAAGGCCACAACATGGCTGAGGCTAATCCTGGCTATGGGGTCCTCATGGTGCTGTGTTAGGTCTTAGGCACCTGAGCAATCCCCAGACCTCTCTTGCTTCAGGTTCTGGGAATAGATGGGGGTGTGGTGAGGGTCTCAGAAATCATGAGGGAGAGCTCCTGGCGGTGCTGCTGACCATGGGCGGGGGGTGGCCCTGGCCAAAGGGAGCCTGCACAGTTTATCCCACCCTTGCCGGCAATCCTCTAGGTGCTGGGTGAAGGTGTAGAACCGGACAAATGGGCAGACACAAACCTCTTGCCCCGGGGAGGGCAGGATGCCCAGAGGGAGCGTGATTCAGCAGGCAATAGGGGTGCTGACATCAGCGTGGGTGAAGGGAATATAAATAACAAAGAGACTCCCTGGGAGTCTAGGGGGATAACCAGACCCTGCTCTGACTCCAGGTAGCTGCCCCGCACGCTGCCAGCAGCACCAGAGGGTGGATTTGGGCTCAGGTCCTGGGAGGAAGGGCCACACCCAAGCAGCCCCCACCTGCTCACAGCCCAGAATGCACAACCAGAGATGGCAATCCTGGTCCCACCTGGGCTGGGCTCAGCCCCTGGCGCCTCTGGCGGGGTCCGAGAGGGGCTGTGTGCCAGGTCTGCATCGTCCTTGCCACAGGCTTTGGTCACAGTGCTGGGGTCCGGGCTTCAAGCCCCAGGCAGCAGCTAGGACGTGTTTCCGAAAGAGGCTATGGGGTGGATGGGGGTGAGGACCGGTGGAGATCTCGGGCATCTCCGTTCTGCCCTGGGCACAGGACAGCCCTGACTGGCGCCTGCGGCTGCCCCCTGAGATCAGCCCACCCACTCCACACTTGGGCCTCCCAGCCCAGCCTCTCCCCCACCCCCATGCCTCCCGGCACTCCTGGCTCCCCCCACTGACCTTGGCTGAGCAGCTGTAGGCTCCGCCCCTCCTCGCGCACCTGCAGGCGCAGCACCTGCTGTAGCACCTCTTGCCGCTGTGCTTCCTGTGCCAGCCCCATCCGCTGTAGTTTCTCCCCATTTAGCCGCAGCAGCGCCCGGCCTGAGAGCGAGGGGGAGAGGGCCGAGCCAAGGTCAGCGTCCAAGGGGCATCAGGAGCCAAGGCCGAGAGAGAGAGAGAGAGAGAGAGAGAGAGAGAGAGGAGGGGCACACAGAGAGACTCAAGGACAGAGAGAGCGAGGTAGAGACACAGAGATTTAGAGAGACAGGGAAAGAAAGTGAGAGGCAGCGGAAAGGCAAGTGCAGGCAGAGCCCGGGCAGAGAAACACACTGGGGAGACTGCAGAGACTGGAAGGGGAGGTGGGCTCAGCAGGAAACAGAGAACGGAGCGAACAAGGGCTGGCTGGGGGGGTTCCCTATGCCCCTCCCCACACCCCGCCCCCAAGGCACCTGTGATGGCATGCTGGGAGAAGGCCTCCACATAGACGAGGTAGTTGTGGGGACAGTGCTTCTTGAGCCACTTGCACACATCCTGCTGACTCCACAGGACCACAGGCCTCGTCAGGCCGCCCAGGGAGGGGCTTGTGTGGTACAGGCCACAGTGGTCAGAGTACAGCCGGCCCTGTGGAGCAGATGGGTGGCAGCTGGGGTGAGGTGGTGGGAAGGGCAGGGGCTGAGGTGGGTACGGTGGGTGGGTACCTGGGGGGCCTCTGTGCCAGGCTGCTGCAGGAGCTTGACAGGCCGGCCACCAGCGGCCCTCTGGCTACGGGAGTCGTGCCATGTGAGGCTGGTGCCTGGTGTCCGAGGCAGGTGGCAGGGGATGCTCTCAGCAGACACCGTGTGCTCCAGGAGGGTTCGGCAGAAGCTGAAGTGTGCAGCGGCTGCAGAGCATGGGTGCCTGATCAGAGTGGTCAGGGGCAGGGCCAGAGGATCATCTCTCTGCAAACCAGCTCCCTGCTCAACCCATCCTCCCTCCAACAAAGGAGAGGGTCCCAAGCCCCCAAAGGTAGAAAGGAAGCGTGCAAAGGCTGTCTTGAGTACCCCACCCAGTCCAAAGATGATGAACTGGGAACGTCTTTCCTCTTCTGAGTGCATCTGGGGAGCAGGATGGATTCTGCTTAGATTAGAGAGACAATGTGCCCACCAGGGAGCGTAAGACTTATAGCCTGGTGAGGGGCTATCCTGAGACAGGCCTGATGTCATCCTTGCTTTGGGCTGACGAATGCTGAACCAAACCAGGGTTCAGGAAACCCAGACCAGGGAACGAGACCAGGCCCGTATGTCCTGGGAGACCCTGTGTGATGGTGACCCTCTGAGTATGCTGCCTGCCTATCACCATTGAAGGCACCCAGGCTCTGCAGCCACACCTGGCATTTGAGACTTGGCTCCTGCCCTGCTGTGCTCATCTGCCAACCCATCAACAAGAAGCCTGAATGAACTCTGGGCAAGCCGGCAACCAGGATACCTGCTCTTCCACCTGCCACAGGGCCCTTGGCCCAGGACAGCTCCTGTGCATGCTGGGTGTCCAGCGGGCATGGGCTGCTCAGTGCAGGTGTGTAGGGCCCAGCCATATGCTCAGAGAGCCATAGTGACAGCTTGTGCCCTCTCTTCCCACACACACTTCATTACACTCAGGTTGTAGTTTCACCGTCATTTCTGCCTTTGTTGCTCACATGGCTCACAGGAGGCAGACACCTGAACGGTCGCCTCCCAACCCTTGCACAGGTCTTGGCACACAGGAGGTGCCCAGAAACATTGTGAATGGATGGGTGGATGAAGAAAGGCTCTGTGTGGTGTCCACAAGTCAGTAGAGCCCTGGGGAGAGGGAGGAACCTGGGCCCAGGCTTGCCCTCATCTTTACAGCATCTAGGTCCCAACTCAGCAGGCAGAAGCAAGTTCCTGGTCAGGGCCCTTGCCTCACTGGCTCTCAGCACTAGAATGAGAGACCCTCTCTCTCATGGACACACCTCAAGCCCTCAACTGAGGGCAGGGTTTGGCGATGTGCCCAGGAGGTCTCAGTAATGGGGAAAACCAATCACTCCCCCTCCTTCTACCCCTTAAGATTCCTTGGATTTAGCAACCCCTCTTCATTCTTGCAACTTCCCGGAATTGAATGACCCCAGGTGACTCTAAATTTGAGATCCAGGGTCAAACAGAGGGTGTGGCTGGTGCGGTCGCTGCCCTGATGTGGCTTCTAATATCGTGGAAGAAGACTTATTCTAAGCTGGCATCTTTCAGGGCACAGGTTCCTGAGCCACTTGGCCTCACATCGCAGGGCCTCACGGAGCCCGGCCGGGCCAGGGCAGGAGCCTGAAGCTCTGGGCGAACCAGTCGGACGCCACAGCGTGCGCTGCACCTGTCCGGGTCCAAGCCGGGCCCCGCCCATTTCCTGCCCTTGCTCGGGGAAGGATCTCCGTCTTTCCGTCTGTCCGCCCGTCGTTCCGTCCCTCCCTCTCAGCCCCAACGTCAGAATTCCAGCATAAAATGCGGCGGGGGCGCCCAAGCCCGGCTGTGGCCTTGGCTCTCTCTCGGCCCCACGGCAAGCGCTAGGGAAGGAAGGGCGCGCAAAGGAAAAGCGGACCGCAGGATGGTGCCGGCCTAAGGGCAGGAGCCCCAGCCGGGAACCTCCAAGCCAAGGGTGCGCTGATCCCCAAGGCCTGAGGCCACCCCCCCCAGCTCAGGACAAAGACACCAGGGACCCCGTTCGGCCAGGACGCGCCCCCCACTCCGCGCCAAGCCGTTACTTGGAGTCCGCCAGATCCCGCCCCCGTCCCTCTCGGCCCCCCAGCCCCCAACCCGCGACATCCCCGCGCCCTGGTCCAGCCCTGCTCACCGTCCACATCCCGGCGCTCCCCGAAGCCGGCACGCACAGCCCCGGCGCGGCCTCGCGGGGGGCTCAGCTTGGTCCTTAGCTCCGTGAACATGGGGCCCAAGGATCCCGGGCCGGTGCACACGCCCCTCGCCGGGGGCAAGGCGGCCCGTGTGGCCGGCGGGGAACGCGCGCCGCTGCCCCGCCCCAGCCGGCCCCGCGCCCGAGCCGGTCCCCGCGCCCGGCGAGTCTGCGCGGCGAGGCACCTGCCTGTGAGCCCCAAGTGCCGGGCGCGCTCCGGGAGCTCCGAGGTGTGTCGGCGGCGCGCAGGTCTGCGTATGCAAAGGGTGTCTGCCGGGGTGTAAGGGGCGATCTCGCACACCTCGGCGTGGCTTCAAGGACGAGTGCCTCTGTGCACCTTTAGGGGTCCAGACATCTCAAGGGGCTTCTGAGGCAGGGAAATAAGGAAGCGATCTTCCCCACGCCGAGGGAGGGGGCAGGAGGGGAGCACCCTACCTGCTCCCGGGATCATCTGTCCACTGGGGCCCAGGGTCAAGGGCCAGACCGACCCCTCTCAACCATTTCCCTCCATTCTCCTGCCTCAATTTACTGACTCCTTTATTCACGCGTTCTCCAGACCTCTCCAAAGGCACTTGCTTCCCCAGACCCTCTCTTTTTTTTTTAGATTTTATTTATTTATTTGACAGTGAGATAGGGAACTCAAGCAGGGGCAGTGGGAGAGGGAGAAGCAAGCTTCCTGCCGAGCAGGGAGCCCGATGCTGGGCTCCATCCCAGGACCCTGGGATCCTGACCTGAGCCGAAGGCAGACGCTCAACGACTGAGCCATCCTGGAGCCCCAGACCTTCTCTTAACCCCCACCACAATGTGAAATCCAGGAAGACAGCCAGTCAGGGTCTCTCTCCTTCCCTCTGTAGCCCCAGAGTGACTCAGTGCCCAGGATGTGGCTCTGAAAGCAGTTTGGCGGGGAATGGGGAGGAGAGAGGTGCTCCGAGGAGGCTGCAGCAGGCAAGAGGGGAGAGTTTGCTCCAGGACCCCACTGAGAGGTGCTAGGGTGGGCTGGAGGCTGCCCGGTGCAGAGGGCCAGACTTGGCCTTGAGTTATGCCTGCTCTGCCAGAAGTCTGGGTGTAAGTGGGAGCAGCTGTCCCACAGAAGGAGCAGAGGTACACACAGAGATCCAGAAGTGTACGCAGAGTAGTCATGTGTGTCCATCAGGTCATCCGACTAGTGCCCAAGCCCACGACACACTCAACTAGAGATTTGCACGGAATTCACCAGTGCTGTGGCCACGTGTGTCCCATACCGAACTGTTCCCGGCATATCTCCTGCATTTATTTATTTTCGCCAATTAGCCTCCACCCTCACTGCCATGTTCAGGGTATGGTGGGGGTGGTTGGGGTGGCGGCGGAGCCTGTACGGGGACCGGTGCCTGAACTGCGGCTCCGGAATCTGAGCGCTAAGAGCTAGAGCCTGCACACCGGGGCACGCGCAGACAGGTGTGCCCACAATCACGACACATACACCGCACACCAGCTGTCCACAACCAGACAGGTGTGCGGCACCGCTCAGATGTGCTACGGTCGGCCCCGTGGCCGAGACAACTCTGAAGGGAGAGGTGAACGAGTGGGCCTGATTCTGAGGGGTCCTTGGCAGCTGGGCTGACTCAGAGAGGGAGGGGGCCCATGGCTCCCGCTCGTACAGGCGGGACTCCTCGGAAATGCGTAGATGCCCCACGCTCAGTTTTGAGGTCCTGCAGGGTTTCTCCAGGATGAGGTCCCTCCCGCACGTCCCCTGCAGGGCCGCCCGCGCACCTCGCCACCGTCAGGCGCCTCCGCGCATGCGCCTATCAGATCCCCTCGCCGCAACCGCAACCGGAAGTCGCTTTTCAGGAACTTCCGCCCGGGGAAGGCAGAACGGGCGGGGCTTCGTGCAGCCCGCGAGTTCTGCTTCCGGGGCGCGGGTGACGCAGGTCCCGCTTGCTGTTCCCGCTGAGGAGCCGGAGTCGTCAGTGGTCTTTTTCGCCTTCGGCCGGCCGCGGCTTCCGTCCCGTCCCTTCCCGGCCCCTAGTCATCACCGGCACCATGAACAAGAAGAAGAAGCCGTTCTTGGGCATGCCCGCGCCGCTCGGCTACGTGCCAGGGCTAGGCCGGGGGTGAGGCCTGGCGCGACCCGCGCTCGGGGGGCGGGAGCGGGCGGCGCGGGCCCCGGGGCCCGGCGGGCAGAGCGGGTCGCGCGCGCTTGGGGCAGGGGCGGGGGCGGGCCCGGGCCAGGCCGTCCTCGCTCCCCGCCCTTGTCTCGGGGAGGCCGTGAGATGCGGCTGGCGACGGGGAAGACGAGGAGGACCCGTCAGGGTGTGTGGCCACAGGTCTGGAAGGCATGGCTGGGCTTGGCCTACCGCTCGTTGGAGGAGTGCTTTGGGGCCGGGCCAGAGCCGGGCGCCACTGCTGCTTGCCCCCGAGATGGGAGCCTCGGGCTCGAGCCGTGCGTGGGCTGTGAGCCCGTGTGCGGGCTCTGAGATGCGGAGTGGGTGACTCCTCGAGCTGGGGTGGGACCTCCGTGGCTCCTCTGCGCAAGCCGGGCGGACCCGCGCCCTCGTCTGAAGCGCGAGCGGTCCCTCCCCTGTGCTGTCGGCCGTCGTGCGCGGCGCTCAGCCCTGGCGGGGCCGGGGTCTCCCGTGCCTGGCGCACGGATGTCTGCCGTAAATTGTCGAGTAAACGAGCCGTCGGCGTCGTTCTGTCGGCCTGGTGCTTCGATTGTTCGGAACAAGTACTGGGTTTCCTTGTGGGGGCGTGGCGTTAGCGTCTGTGGGGAAAGCGCAGTCTCGCTTATGGGTACCGGCTCCCGAGGACCTGCAGGTTACGAGCAGATGTGAGAGATTTGCGGTGTTAAGTACGTAGAGAGAAACATTTAGAAGTCGGGGGTGGCAGCGGTCAGGAATGCTCTGTGGAATGGTAGCATTTGAGCCCCGTCTGACACAGGAGCCGCGTTTAGGGATGTAGAAATGTGGCGGGGTTAAGGGAGGAATTGACCTTTGTGTGTTGGGTAGTGGAGGAAAAAAGAGCGGCCTGGAGGAGGATGAGGGACTCTCACGGAGTCTGTGAATGGAGTGTGCGGCGAGTGGTGTCCCAGGGGCCGGGGCTGTAGGAGAGACGGGCGTCAGAGCGCCGTGGTCAGAGCTGTGTTGAAGCAACAGGACGGCTAGAGGCAGGGTGGCTGACTAGGCTCCCAGCCGTGATGGGGGTCAGCGTTTGGGGAGGACGATTTCGAAGGCGGACTCAGTAGAACTTGATGACTGATAGGGTGGAGGAGAAGGGAGGGCTGATGGTGTCGTGCCGCTGTGGTACTTGGGATGGCCCTGCAGTCATCAGCTGAGACAACCCAGGGCCGGCGCAGGATGAGCACAGAGAAGGGGTTCTGATGGAGTCACGCTGGGTTTGAGGGCCCGGTTGGATGTGTGCTGGGGGAGGTGGTCCGCAGGTTGTTAGAAGTGGGAGGGTGGAAGTTGGGAGGGGGGAGGTCTGATGCTCTGGTGAATCTCTCAAGGAGAGTAGGGGGTGGTAACCTCCTCAGGGTAGGTCAGAAGGGTTCTCACCTGAAGAGAACGGGACTAGTAGCGTGTGAGAGTGCAGCGTGCCTCGTTTGTTGCTCCCTGGATCTTGTGCAGTTTCTCAGAGATGTTAAAAAAGGAGGTGTTATTAAGTGAGGACTGTGGAGGGAAGAACAAAGGAACACGGTCACCCAGGTGAATGGGTGTCTTGGGGTCTCCTGCAGTGCCACTGGCTTTACCACCCGGTCAGACATTGGGCCCGCCCGCGATGCAAACGATCCTGTGGATGACCGCCATGCGCCCCCAGGAAAGAGGACCGTCGGGGACCAAATGAAGAAAAGCCAGGCTGCGGATGATGATGACGAGGATCTGAATGACACCAACTATGATGAGGTGACTTGTGGTGCACCCCCAGCCAGTCTCCAGGAGGGCTGACCAGCTTCTTAAGCCAGTGCTCAGGGAGGCGGGCACGCCTAGTGTTTCAGTCTGCTTATGGGGTGTCTTTAGCAGTGTGAGGGGGGAGCAGGGAGTCATAGAAGGAAATGTACATTTTGTCGTCTCTTCAGGAGAGGTGTACTTGCATTGGGGTTTTGTCTCAGCTGGTCCTTGATGAAAATTCTAGGTGGAATTGGTGACGATACCGTGATTTATTTTGTCTCAGTGCGTACTGTCTTACTTAACTAGTATTTGGTCAGTTGAAGTTTTCTTCAGGTGTGTTCCGACAGAATTTTTGCTCAGAGGAAAAAGATTTTTAAAATTTCAATTCTGAAATGATTTTAAACTTCCAGGGAACTTGCAAAAATAGTATGGACGATTCCTGCATACCCTTCATAAGCTTCTCTCCATCTTACACGGCCTTAGTACAGCTACTGACACAGCACTGTTAGCTGCTCTGTAGGCCTCACTTGAATTCCACCAGTTTTTCATTGGTGTCCTGTTCCTGAGCCAGGACCCTGCATTGCACTTAGTGTGTCTCTTAGTGTCTTCCCATTGGGGTAGCTCCATCTTTCGTGCCCATGACACCCTTTTTTTTAAGATTTATTTTTATTGTTTTTTAGAGAGCGCACGTGCGTACACGCACACACACACACACACACACACACACACACACACAGTGGGGGAGGGGCAGAGGGAGAGGGAGAGAGACTCTCAAGCAGGCTCCCTGCTGATCCTGAGCCCGGAGCCCGATCTGGGGCTCCATCTCACCACCCTGAGATCATGACCTGAGCCAAAATCAAGAGTCAGATGCTCAACCAACTGAGCCACCCAGGTGCCCCTCGTGCCCACCCCCCCCCCCCCCGTGACACATCTGAAGAGTACTGGTGAGTTATTTTGTTTTCCCTCATTTTGGGGTTGTCTGATTGAAAAAAATTGTTCAGCAAGCATTTTATAACTAGAAGTATTCTCTGTTTCTGCTTGAGGGAATTGTGTTGTAGGAAAAGTTGACCTATGTTGTTTTGTGCTTAGTTTAATGGCTATGCTGGGAGCCTCTTCTCAAGTGGGCCCTATGAAAAAGATGATGAGGAAGCAGATGCTATTTATGCAGCTCTGGATAAAAGGATGGATGAAAGAAGAAAAGAAAGAAGGTAAGATAAATTATTGCTCTTTACGCTGTAATTACCCAACTTTATTTATTT